CACTGCAGAGTGCTGTGTGAGGGGAGCTGCAGAGTGCTGTGTGAGGGGAGCTGCAGAGTGCTGTGTGAGGGGAGCTGCAGAGTGCTGGATGAGGGGAGCTGCAGAGTGCTGGGTGAGGGGCACTGCAGAGTGCTGGATGAGGGGCACTGCAGAGTGCTGAATGAGGGGAGCTGCAGAGTGCTGGATGAGGGGACTGCAGAGTGCTGGATGAGGGGCACTGTAGAGTGCTGGATGAGGGGCACTGCAGAGTGCTGGATGAGGGGCGCTGCAGAGTGCTGGATGAGGGGCGCTGCAGAGTGCTGGATGAGGGGTGCTGCAGAGTGCTGGATGAGGGGCGCTGCAGAGTGCTGGATGAGGGGTGCTGCAGAGTGCTGGATGAGGGGCACTGTAGTGTGCAGCAGAGATGCTGCGTGATGCCGCCGTGTGACATCCCAACTTGAATTGTGCGTTTATGCTGCACAGTACATGTGGACAGCCAGGTGCTACAAGCCCCGTTTCTGTTTCCAAGGTCACATCCTGATCTCATCTGGAATCCCCTGATTCTCCTGGAGAGGCTTGCTGACCTGCTCTGGCTCTGCATCCCTCTGTCCTTCTGGGGCATTTCCAGATTTTCTCAAACCAGTCCCTGAAGAGTCCTGCAGTTTCCTTAAGGCCACCTGCCATTTCCTAGAACCATTTACTGAATATGTTTTAGGGGATCAGGGGAATACCTGATCAGCACTAACAGCACGTGTATATTAGCTACATTTAACTTAACTATTAGAACCAGACAAACGCAAAATGCGTTGCTTTTCGCACCCATTAATATCAGGGTCGTAACTTTGGATAGGTAAAACGCACATACATGAATCGCATATCATTGTAATCAAGGGATCTCGATCCGGTCGTGTAAGTTGTAGCGTTAAGCGCCAAAATATTCCAGAGTAATCCTGTGCGCAATGGGACACATTTTATAAACATTTTCCAGCAAAACGCATCCTTAACAACCCATAAAACTTCGAGAGGATGAAAACTCCGGAAAACAAAGCGCATATTCAGTTCCGCAATGATCCACGCTTTCTGGAGTAAAATATGTATTTTATAATTAATTTATTATAAGCCTATAAATAAAGGGATAGAAAAACACTCAGAAATTGGCTGGAGTTCTATTAGAAAAAAACAACAAAACCCAGCGTTCTATTTATTAGGAAGACACTTACTTGATATTTCCGTAATATGTCAGGGTCAGCCCCTGTGGTCCTACCGTGTCCCTTCCCCGTTTGGCCAGCAGGTGTTGCTGGTCATCCTGTTCTTTATATTAGTCTTTGTTCTCCCCTGTTACCTGTCTGGTCATGTGGCTCAATGTGTTGCGCATGTAGTTGTCTGTGTACCCTTCTGTCCTGTGTTCGAATCCCGCCTCCTCTGTTTTTGTATTTTGCTCCCTAGTGTTTCATTTGAGTTTCTTTAGTTCTTGTGTCTGATTTTGTAGTTGGTTTTGGTTTTGTTCCTTGTGCCCCTGCTTGTGTCTTTACCTGTTTAAGTCTCTAGTGTTGGTTTATGTTTCCTTGTGTCCTTGGTTAGTTCTTAGTTTCCCTGTTTTTAGTTCCTTTGAGTTATTAGTTTCACCTGTGCCCTGTTTCCCTGGTCTTTGTTAATTAGCCTCAACTGTCCTGTGTTAGTCTCGTTACTCCTTAGTATTTTAGTTCCTGCTTCTGTTCAGTTCCCCAGTGGTTCATTGTTGTTGCTCGTCTAAGCTTTGTTAGTTTGGTTAGATCTGTATTCTGTTTGCCTTCCCAGTTTTTGTTATTTGTGATATTAAGTCTTTAATTACCCCCTTTAGTTTTTGACCCTCGTGGTCCTTTTGGTTTTGTGTTTGTAGTGTTTTCTGTTATGTAATAAACCCCATTTTTTTGTTCCTGGGAGCCGCCAGGGGGTCGTCCACCCTTTTTTGTGCACTATGCCTCGTTCTCGCGCCCGGATCCTTGACAGTAATATTAATTAAAAGTAGGTAGCCTATATGTATTTTTGATGTCGAGCGCCGTCAAAAAAGTTGAAATACAATGCACCCATCGTGTGATTGGAACACCTCCCACACAATGACGTGTTACAGCGTTGGTTTGTTGTTTGAGCCTAAAATGCCGACTAAAAGTTTCATTCTCTAATTTCACTTTACCAATCATAGGCGGGAAAACGACAGCTATACAAAACATTCAGCAATAGACTAAAACTATCTCTGTTTATCCAGTGTATCATAAATTAAGCAAACACACACACACACACACAGGTAAAACCATGCATTGCCGTCTAACTTCAAAATGGATGCAAAATCATAGGGCCCCCCTTATGGCACCACTGGACGCAAGTAGTTTTTTGTCATTAAAAGGGTGATATCAAGAATGTATCAGCATTTACATATCAAATTATGACACATCTGAGTAGCCCACAATGTGCTGAAAACAAAACCATAAAGCACATGTGGCCGATTTGTGTACATACCATGTAATAAGCCTAAAACCAAAGTGATAGAGAAAGGCATAACAATGGATAGGGGTTAAAGGGTTAAAAAATCCATCTCATGAAAGTGAAAGTTGGGGAGACCTATGTATACCTTAGAAACCGTAGCTGCATTCATTGCGCACGACAAGGACAGAAGATGTCTTTCTCCAAGCAGAGTCCCTACATGAAACCGGTAGGTGCGGGATACCATTGCGCATTTGTTAACGTTTACGCTCAGATGTATTTGCGTCTATTTTTTAATTCACAGGAAACTGATGCATGAAGGTGTGATGTTATCACTCAACAGGAAATAACTGTTAGTTATAATGCCGACAGACGTAGGAATCGCCATATTGAGAGCAGTTTTATTCTCCACTGCTTTCACATAATTGATGTGATCGGCACATTCTCACTTTTATTATCAGTTCTCAAACGTTTTGTGTTCTTTTAATTTAATTTTTCGTATTTATCCGTATGCTTTTACTCATGCCTATTTTTACTTTCACTTTTACTTTTTCTGATTTGTTTCTGTACCGCCCTTTGAATAACCTTTGGGTATGAAAATGTGTGTTATAAAGAAATTTTACACAAATTACTCGATGCCATAATAACAAAAGGAGTAATGAGCATCATGGTAAAACTTTACGGTCCTGGTACACAAATAAGCATATACTGTATTAATAGTTGAACTAATGCATGAGTCATGATAAGTTGATGCATTCACTAATGATTAGAACATCAGTAAATACTGAAGCATATTAATCAAAATCAATCAGTCAAACTTTATGTACACAGCAGTTTTCCTGAAAAATAAACGCAAAACAAAGTGCTTCACACAATAAAAAACCATATCAACCCACCACTACTGCCACCTAACCCAAACAATGTAAAATAAAGGGACAAAACACAATTATAAATAAATGGGTAAATAAGCAAATAATAAAAATATTAAAAGAATAGTCATAACAATAAAAACAGGAACTTTGGAAACGGGCACTTAGGAAATGCTGTCATGGATCTCAAAAATGTGCATAAGAAAGAGGCAGCATAAAATATAGTGAGTAAAATTATAAATGATGAGTGCCAGGGTTTGCGAGAGGCGTAGACCGCGGAAGCAGAGGCAGGAATCGGGAAAACAAGGGATTTAATTCCAGGGGAACACAAGCAGGATCACGGAACAGGCAGAGAACATGTAATGACAAAATGACGATAATGACTGGACTGTGGAAAACATACCTAAGGCAGACTTAAATACATCAGACTAATTAACAACAACGAGAAAAGGCCGGTGTATTAAAAATTTTAAATGATGTGAGAGGGATGTGGCTCTCGAAGGAACAAACAGGCAGGCTTAGGTTCACTCAAGAACACTTTGATAAGCAATACAAAATAACCTTGCATTAACATCAATACCAAGCTATCGCATCGAAAGCAATGCAAAATAACCTAGTACTACAAGGGATATGAAGTAATATGTATATTTTAGCTAATAATAATAGGTGCAAAGACACAAATTCATCCGCGTCCGTGAATTCATCCTAATACAGCCGGTAACACAGGGATTCCCCACGAGGTAGATGAGGGGGCGTGGCACACGGGAGGATCAGACGAGCAGGTCATGACAGGTGAGTTAATAAAAAGGAAATGATAAAGTTATGATAAATAAATAGTATGGAGATAAATAAAGGAGGAGAAAAACAAGCAACTACAAAATAAAAGTATAAATGTGGGGCGTAATGTGAGGATAAAAATAAAGGCAGAACATGAATAATAATAAAATATAAAAAGAGATGAGATGAGATTAAAAAAAATAAGTAAGGTATTAAATAAAGTTCACATATACAGATAAACAGACAGATCAAGTTTGGTAAAACAAAAGAACTAAAGCAAAAACCAAATTGAAAAAATGATATGTCTTCAGTGTGCTTTTAAGAATACTGTATGAACATCCTCTGATGCCCTCAGGTCTTCAGGAAGGCTGTTCTACAGACGTGGACCATAGTAACAAAAGGATGCTTCACTGTGGGTTTTAGTTCGGACTACAGGGATAATTAAGTGGCCGCTACCTGAAGACCTGAGAGGGCTGGAGGGCTCATAGGATAAAAGCAAATCCGATAAATCGGTAGGTCCCAGACCATTAACAGCTTTGTAAACCAGTAAAAGAATCGGTGTAATGTGTTCTATTTCTGGTCTTAGTTAATACACATGCGGCTCAGTTTTGAAGTAATCGTAGTTGAGATATATTCTTCTTAGGGAGACCAGAAATTAAAGCATTACAGTACTCAATCCTGCAATGCTTATTCATGTATTTGTTAGGTCATTAAGGTATATGCTTCAGTATTTACCGATGTTCTAATCATTAGTAAATGAATGAGTCTGGCATTAGTTCAACTATTAATACATGCTTCTTTGTATGTACCAGTATTGTAAAGTTACCAGCATCATTTACTGCGCGTGTGCGTGGATGTGTTCATGCAGTCCGCGGGTTACGAACTTCTGACTTATGGACAACTCGTACTTACAAACGGAGTACCATAAATTTTACTAATTTGAGTTAAATACAATCGTTCATAATAATGAACGCACGCGCTACTTCGTGACGCTCGTGAAAACATTCCGCAGCTTCAGCGGTTTGTCGGACTGAGGTACAGTACTGTATACAGTTACTTTTATTAATACTGTTTGTTATTATGTGCTATATTATTATTTTTTCGACTTCCCTACAATTTCGACCTAAAGACAGGATCTCGTTTGTAACCTGGGGACCGACTATAACCTCATACGAGACTGCAGCTTTTGGCTGATAATAGTAATGTCAACACAATAATAATGTCCTCTGTGCGTTCTGTCCTCCAGCCAACCCCCTTTGAAGGGAGCATCCTGGGCGGTCTACAGGAAGGAAGAACCATCACGATTAGAGGCTGGGTCCCGCAGATCACTAAGAGGTGCATCAGCAGACGTTTGTGAACACTTCAAAAGCTATAGTGAGCCTCATGCTGTACACTTCCTGCGATAGGCAGCGCCGTCCTGTGCTTCGAAGAACCCCCCTCCCCACGCTAATTTTGTTTTGCAGGGTGGTTTGGGAAATCTTATTAATATTCATGGAAGAACGTAATATTCATTGGCCAACGTACGTGCTCCCATTGACATGAGCTGCCTGATTTTTTCTGTCTAAGATCTTTACTGACCAATAAGGAAGTGCTTCTCTTATGAATGTTTTCCCGAACCACCCTGTAAAACGAAAATTCTCCCCAGGACACACGACCAAACCTTTGCCGCCCCCTGCTGGGCCCTAAGTGTAACTGCATCTTTACTGTAAAGTAATGCCAGTTAGTTTATGTCTCGGCTAGAGTGCTGATACTCTGTGTTTGTGTGTGTCCAGTTTTAACGTGAACTTGCAGTGCGGCTCAAAGAAGGAAGCCGACATCGCCTTACAATTCAATGCCAGGTTCGACAAGCCCCCAGGCTACGTCATCTGTAACACCTTGAAGAACCAACAGCTGGGTGAAAATAAGCAAAAGCACCTGGCAGCTGATCTACGTGGCTCCAATTTCACCCTCGTCATCATCGTCACCCGCGACTCCTACTCGGTGAGGGGGGGGGGGGGGGGGGGGGGGGGGGGGGGGGGGGGGGGCGTTGTTAAATTTGGTCTCTTAAAATTGTAATTGTAATGACTTTACGGTCTTGTATGTGATGTATCATGTATATGTAAAATAGCAGAATTACATTGTTTTGTTCCATCCTCATTTTGTTTTTTACCTCCCTTGGTCCCCCCAGATTTCTGTTGATGGATTTCACCTTTTGGAATATAAGCATTGCCTTCCTTTCGGACAAGTAGATACCATTGCAGTGTTCGGGGGTGTGCAGGTGGAGTATATCAGTTTTGAGAACCCCAATGTGAGTATTAAGGTGTCACAGCAGGGGGGGGGGCAGGATGAGGAAACCATGGGGTGTAATGAATGTCATAAGATCCTTATATGACGGAAGACACAGTGGACCAGAGGTTCAGAAAGCAGATAATTCAGCTCCCCTACTTGATTGACAACGCCTCAAGATCTTGCTCTGCCTTTCTAGAAGTTTCTGAGACAGGGGGCTCCCACATTGGTTTGTGCCAAGGCTCCCAGACCTGTTGCCTGCTGTATCTGCTGCTGTAAACACATTTGTCCATCTCGCTAAGTTTAGTTAATAGATGCTTTCACACCAAAGTTCCAGAACCAGGGCCCTGGTCTTGACCTGGAACTTTTGTAGCTCCAGACCATCTTCATGTGTCACTATCCGCCACACAACAGGAACAGGGACCTTTATGTTAAATAAACATGGCAGACGCAAAAGCTCGTAGGTTAAACTTCACATATAATTCAAAACTCACCGCCACGGCGAAACAATTTAGAATGAACAAGTTGTTTTGTTAATTAAGTTATTTGTTAGTTATTCTGTGGGGTGTTAATATGATCAGAATGAGGAACAGCCTTTTATATGTTATTCATATGACCAGAGACATATATATTTTTTTCATTATTAAATCTGGCCAGCAGATTGAACTTTCGTTTTTCACAGAATAAAGAACGATGTAACGGTATCCCGCTAAAAAGCGCTGGCAAGTTTCACCGCCAGCAGGGGCGATATTAGACAAAAGTATATTGTTATCAATAAAATTTTGCAAAAATATAGAGACGGAAGCAAAAACTTTATTCACCAAATGTATAGTAACTGAAGTACAAAAAATAATTCCATCTGCTTTATTTTTCCTCGGCTAGTTATATTTCTTTTCTCCGTACTTCCAAGGTAGCGCTGGTGCTTGTGGTCAGCCAATCAGTGAGCTATCACTGTAAGCACCAACCAATCAGCAAGCTATCGCTGTAAGCACCAACCAATCAGCAAGCTATCGCTGTAAGCACCAACCAATAGGCGAGCTATTGCTGTAATCGCTGAGCAACCAGCAAGCTATAGCTGCAAGCTCCTTCCTAGTAGTTTGTGTTCAAACATAAAGTACATAGTCTGCATCCTAAAACCCTGATTTGCACCAACCTCCCTCGCTGTATTTCCTTTGCCCTCGAAGTTTTTTTGAATTCCACATGTTGAAATGCTGTCCTAGTACCTTTAGGAATGAGTCACCAAGGGCTGATTTTTGCTCAAATCACCCCTTTGTTGGGGACGTGTGGAAGTCTAGTTGAGAGTACCCTTTGCAGAAGGTAAATTCACCTTTGGTGACACAATGTGAATAAAAGGTTCTACTTCAGTGATGACTTAATGCATACAGGCCGAGCACGATAAGTCATCGAGGATGCAAGTGTGTCCCAATACCGCTTTTTATCCATGCTACCTCCCTCGCTCACTCATTCTTTCCCTTGTCAGTTTCAAGAACTTTCAACTTTAGACAGTGAGTCACCGAGGGAGGGAGCAAGGGAGCCATCAAAAAAATTGGGATGTAGTCCTAGTTAGGAGTAGGTACTAAATGAAGGTTACAGAACTGCCTCCGAGGAACTTCAATCGGGCCAAAATCCTGCTGTGTAAATGTAACAAAAGGCTCTGGAAAAAGGTTTCGGTTCCAGAAAAAATTCCAGCGGTGTGAAAGTGCCTAAAGAGTCGTGTTTATTAAATTAAGTAAATTAAATAAATTAAATTCACTTCTTCCTCACTGTTTGGTTCTCATGGTCTTTTTAGTGACCTGTCCATCCGCATCTATAATATTGGTTTGTAGGTGTCTGGTTTGTTCTTTATCAAGACTCCTTTGTTTGTCCTCCTTGTTTAGATTCCTCCTTCCGCTCCCAACTTGTTCTCCGAAGCTGTTGGATGGCTGACTTCCTTGTTGAAACCTTCACCCCCTGAATACCATGCGACACCATACAACTGCTCTGTGCCTGGAGGGATGTCCTTGGGGCGCAGTGTTACTGTCCTCGGGGTGATCAAGGACAAAGCAGCCAGGTGTGTGACTTTCAGGGAGGCGTTTAGTCTCTGTGATCAGCACAAAAGGGGACATGGCGGTCAGCGCGTGCTGAACCCTCTAATGAGAGAGCTTTCATTCCTTTTGGGACCTACCCAACCGCTGGTGGTCTGTAGGATGGCATCTTCCCAGCATGCAATGTTTCATTGTCTAAAGATATGAACTAAGGTAAAGCTAGTCAGAAAATAGGACCCATACAATAGTAATGCTATTGTATTTAGTTGTTTCTCTGTTAACAATTAGCAAAAGACAATTAGAGTATATTTCAGGAAGGAGGCAGTTCCAAGTCTATGGCTAATCTTCTCTTCCCCCCTCCCAATACACAGGTTTGACATCAAGCTCTGCTGCAAAGAGGGGGTGGCTTTCCTCTTCAAACCAAAATTCAAAGACGGTGTAGTGGTGCGCAACAGCCAGCTGAAGGGGTCCTGGGGACGCGAGGAGCGATCTGGGGCCATGCCCTTCTGCCAGGGGCAGGCCTTTGTGGTAAGCCACGCCCCTTTATGGCAAGCCACGCCCCCTGGTTGGCCACACCCACATGGATATCTGCATGAATATTGGATAGATACTCATAACCATAAGCACACAAACATACATGTATATGGGTGGTGTGTGGCTCCGTGGGTTAGGACGCTGTACCTGTGATCAGAAGGTTGGTGGTTTAAATCCCGTGTTGGCAGAGTGATGTCACCTTTGGGTCCTGGAGCAAGGCCCTTAACTCCTAATTGCTCCAGGGACTGGCTGACCTGCTTTCTACATAGTATGTCACTTTGGATAGAAAGGTCTGCTGAATAAATAAAATGCAAACAAATGTGCTGTTCAGGATGTTAAAATAGTACACAAAGAAACACATGTGCAGACTCACAGCCATGTTCCTCCTTTCAGATAACCATCACCTCCAACAGTGAGTGCTACACGGTGTTTGTCAACGGCGCCCAATTGTTTGAGTACCAGCATCGCTACAAATGCCTGGAAAGTGTTGATTTCCTGGATGTGAACGGGGACACGAGTGTGATCTTTGTAGAGGTGTAAGGTCACCCAAAGAAAAGAGGAACCAGAAAGTATGTTAAGGTTGTCATGTATCTGGTCTCTCTGAGAAAGACCACACTGACAACGCCACTAACTTCCTGCTGGTTTGTACTTCTGTGCTTCAATTAATATCTTCTCTTTCTGCTATATTTTTTATATAAAAAATAAACTAGAAATCCATCCCCTCGTCCATTTCTTTATGTGTGGATATGAACTAAAACAACTATTCTCAACCCATCAGGCGTGACCCAAATATGTTCTGAAAGGGTCACAAGCTGAAAATTAAAGGATTTTAAAACCATATAAACCTATATAAATGGGTCTTGGGTCTGCAAATGCTTAGCGCAAAACTAGTGAACATTTAACCAATCCGAGAAGCCAAACCGCAGATGCTTAATTTAATATTCACTGCCACATCCAATCAGATTTCTGCGATAGGCATTGATTGGCGTAAATTGCAGAGTGCACTGTTTGTTTGATCATAACGTTAATTTAGGGTCACGACTGAGCTGGCATGGTAAAGATTGGGTCGCGGTGCAAAAATGGTTGCGAACCACTGGACGAAAATGAGATTTAAAAAACTGAATAATGCAAGTTTACAATGGATATGAAAAAGCACATCATACTAAAATCTCACAGACCAGTAAAATGCCCAGGGGGGGTCGGTGTATCGGCAAACTAATCAGAGATTTCGTAAGTTTAACCAATGTGAACAGTACTGGCAATTGTGAGGGTTCCAGAAAAAATATTATTATATATATATATTTTTTTTTATGAAAAAACCCCTCCGCAAAACCTCCACGGGACCTCGGGGGGAGCAGGCAGCCTCGGACAGCTGCCACCACCCAAGGAGAGGGTCCAGACTGATGTCCTTTAGTGAGAACATGTGTCCCTTACGTACTGCCACCAGAGGGCAGCAGATAGCTTTGTCTCCTTAATCACTTCCAGTTTTTTTTCATTCTAATCTTTGAGAAGCTGCAGTACTCATGTTTGCCTGCAGGGTGCATGCAGACATGTTTATGTAAGTGGAGCTGTGTCAGTTGTTACTTGGGTTTACTTTTAGGAAGGTGGTGCAGTTTGATCCCGGTTCAGGATCCAAGTTGTCATTTTAAACAGTACTGGGTGTAAATGAATATATCTGGGTGCCTTTGTGTAACCATTAAGTAGATACTGGTGAAATAAATTGGTGGGCAACAAGTTGTTGGCAGCCTGGGTATGTGAAGTGGCTTTAGTTTTATATGGTATTGGCTCTTTATAAGTTTTCCTGTTTGTATTATTTATTGTAGCTCTGAGGATAATTCAGACACTTCTCTACTTACAAACTTTCAACTTACGAACTTTCAGACATACGAACGAAGAAGACTGTAAGTCCAAATTGTGTTCACTGGGCTCCCGTTTCCTGTCCGCAAACGTAGCGTTGCGGACTCCCAGCATCCTAGTTCGTTGTACTTGCGTACACCCTTAAATGATGTTGAATAACGACTTACGGACATTTCAAGTTACGAACGGCCGTTTGGAACGTAACCCGTTCATAAGTAGAGGAGCATCTGTATACTGTAGTTAAGGGAAATAAGGAATGGAAAGTGTGGTTAGGATTAAGCCCCCTGAACAGTGGTTTTATAAGTGCCGTGTGCAGCAATGTCTGTATTATTAAATAAGGTAGAAGTATAGGGGGGGGGCGCTTCGAGTAAATATCCACCTCCCCCCAGGACCCCTGTCCCCAGATAGAAGTCTGAAACGCCCCCATGTTACAATGATGCTGATTCATGACATCTAGGAAATTAGAACTGGCAGCATAAAATGACAGTCGGTCACCTTTCCTCGCACGTCCCGTCCTGTCTGCTGCGAGTTTGCGGAGTGTGTCAGGTGATGCCGTAAGCAAGGACTCGGCCTCTGGGTGTGTGGAAGACTTGGGGGGGGGGGGACGGGACGTAGGGGGGCACCAGGATTTGCTACTATGCTCATGCGCCACTGGAATTTTCTGGAATTGGAGTCTCCATCCCAGGCCACATACATGCCCGAGCAGTCATACATTTTTAGTTTATAGATGCCAGTTAACCAAACAGCATGCCTTTGCACTGCAGGAGGAACCCAGGGGAACCCCTTATGACACGGGCAGGACATGCAAACTCCACTTGTGGAGGTAGGATTCCAACCTCCAGCCCTGGAGGTGCAAAGGTACTGCTCTTGCACTGCCGCATTCTGCAAACAGACTCATCCCGGAGAGGTGTCGCTATGATGTCACCGTGATGTCACTGCAGTGCCTCACGTTGTCAGTTGCCACATCTAATGTCACCCTGTAACTTCATTCCTGTCAGATGATCACAAGGGCGTAACTTTGGTTTGAACAATAGGGGGGTTGAGGTCTCCATCCATTTAGGGGGAGACATGATTATTGGAGGGGTTGTATTAGCCGGTGTTGATTATTGTTTATCATTCACAGTGTATTATTTACAGTGTATTGTTAACAGTGTTAATTGACAGTGTATTATTACCAGTGTATTATTGGCAGTGTATCGTTATCAGTGTTTATTGACAGTGTATTATTACCAGTGTATTATTGGCAGTGTATCGGTAACAGTGTTTATTGACAGTGTATTATTGCCAGTGTATTATTGGCAGTGTATCGGTAACAGTGTAGTGGAAGGGATGCTGAAGAGAAACTGTTTTTTACCCCCCCACATAAGGAGAAGCACACAATATTAAAGCTGATCACTGCTGTTACTTTTGGGCTTCCAGGTTTAACATCTTCATACACTAATTATCATGATCTTTAACAGCATTCAGTATCATCAGGCTAATTATAAGCTTTGTTCACGTTTCGCTCTGATTAATATTGTCGGAACACCATGGAATCTCATTGGGTCATTCAGTAAATTTTTAATTACTCACCAACATGACAAGCGAAACTGATGGCCTGTTCGCATCTGGTCATAATTAACATATATTTGCATGTTGTGAAATTGAAAATGAAAATGCAAAGTAGGAAATGAAAAGCCAAATTGGAAAATAAAAAGACAAAAAGGTTATTTAATTTTATTTTTTAATTTTTCACATCTGACTCATACATGAGTGGAAAATTAAAATGCAAATGGTGCTATTTCATTTTAATTTTCATATTTGCAGGATTTTTGCGCACAGACTTTGAAAACTAAATGGCAAGGTGGAGATTGTATTTTCATTTTATCATTTTCATTTTATTTTTTAAAGAAAATACCTCCCATAAGGTATAAGCAATTCCACATAAAATCAGCAAAGGGGTAAAATGTTTTAACGGGACACAGATACATACTTGTGCGGTAAGAAAACTGTATGCTTATAGAGCTCCCCAAGCATTAACCAACAAAAGCTGGTCTGGTTTTTCTGCTAACTAACAAGGTTTAAAATCTTAAAGTGAATAATGAAACATCTCTGGAAATTTTACTTTACACACTTAAATTGGCTTAAATGAATATACTTTGTCTAAACTAAACTACAATGGGCAGACATTATTAATACAAATACTATATTGATATGTTTACGGATATTAACAATGGGTTCTAACCTTGGGTTCGTGGGGCATTCTCGTTTAGTTTGAAACACGCTGTGGCTCTCAGGAGCCAGTTTATTTCTATGTGATCCGATGGTGATGTCAGGATGTGTATAAATGCAGTCAGTGAACAGTGAGTACACGCGCACTCTGTCACTTATTTGTGTAGTGATTTTATTCGACATGCAGAAACCTACAACACCAGGCTCTAAAAATGGCACTATGCAGACCTGATCAGTTAACAGCTGTTTGATTACAAAAGGTATGCAGAGGAATGAACATCTAGCAGTCCTGATTCGCCTTACAGACACCCCCTCCCCCAAATATTTGGGGTGTCCTGGGGGGCCGGTTGAGGGTTGACAGGTGGAGCGCCAGCCCTCCTGGCATAGTGGGAGAAGAAGTATCCGGAAGACCGGTAGGAGGCGCCCTCATATCTGAAGGATTCTGTTTTATTTTTGGCAGCATGTGAGCCTGGTTCGTTGCCCACAAGCAAAACATTTACATACACAAAACATGAAATTTCCCTAAAACTGGGACAAGGGTTTTCGCAAGGTACGTAAAAGGAAAGACACAAATTCATCATCACTGAAGCAGTTTGACTGGATGTCTGAGCACAAATCAACATGCGTGCAGCCAATCAGGGGTCGACTGCGTGAGATCCGGCAGGTCCGAGGCGCTGTTAGTGAAGCAGGACCGCCAGGGACAGGGACAGGTACAGGGACAGTGAGAAGGTGAACCAGTCGCAGGTGCCGGGTTGGGCAGCTGAGTGAGTTTGGTTTGCCGATGAGTGGGTGGAGTTAACGGTTGTCGATGGGGAGGTGGGTGGGTCTGTACCGAGGACCCCCATCACCAGGGCTACCAGCAACAGCAGGGCGCAAAGGTGCCCCCCCATTCTGCCTCTGTCCATCATGGAACTGCAGTCTGGGGGGAGAAACGTACAGTGAGGGACTGAGCCTTCTCGGGGATACCTGCTATTCCTCTTAGATCAGCTAGGAGGCGCTAAGTGGCTTGCACAGCAGCTCTACCTCCAAGGCACAGATCCCAGACATGCTGTTCAGGTTAAGTATCTCCTGGTAATTAATCCTGGGTAGGTTTAGGGCCACCGCTCACTGTAGTCAGAGCTACACACCCTTAACTGCCAGTAAGTGGTTGACAATGCTTACAGAGTCGAGGGACCTGCAGTTGTACCCTTGAGAACCTAAACAGCTTAGACTGTTTTTATTGTAAAGCAGCCAATGAGAAAATGACGTTAGCAGTGGTTTGGATTTTTGCCAGTCATTCACAGATCCTCTCTGTATCTACTCAATTAAAACATTACAAAAACAGGGAAACCCCAAATTCACAAATTCGTCTATGATTGTGAAATTACGTACACATCCTGGTTATTCAATTAATGCATCCAATAAATTGTGAAAATGCAAAATAATCCAGTCCCTGCTGCACGTCCACATACTAAATGGGCTTTGGACGGTCTGTGACGTATCAAAATAAAAGTCCCTACTGAAATAACAAGGACTTTTTAAAGCGGTTATTACTGAAGAGCATACAACACTTTGAAGCTCCATTTCAATGTGTGATACACTTAGTCAAAATCACAATCGCATACAGGGCCCACTAACACCGGTGATACTACAAATAATATCACCGCATACATAATTTTTCTATGCAACACAGCGCATTGTAATACTTCAGAGTCAAACAACCCAGCAACTAAATTTCAGTTTGTAATCAAAAGACATGTGTAAACCTACACATACTGTATCATGCACTGTGGCACATGTGAAATCTGTACACAATTTGTGAAATTATCTTTTCACAATTATTCCATTATTTTCAATGCAGACGGCATACAGACTTGCCGTCTTTAAATTGGCCCTGTAGTTGTGTGAGTGTGGCTGGGTGAGTGTGTGCGCCCTGTGGTGTGTTGGGACCCACCCAGAGTTGGTTCCTGCCTACAGTTGTTATCGGGGTAGGCTCTGGGCCCCCCTGCAACCCCAGTGGGGATTAAGTGGTCACGATAATGGATGGATGGATGGACGGCATACAGACCACCATAATGCTCTGAGGACAGAACCTAGCATCTCAAATTTCAATTTCAAATTGCGGCTGAAGAACACGAGTAGACCTCCACTCATCGTGCACTTTGGCACTTGTGAAACCTGTAGGCAATTTGTGAAATTAATTCATATGCCTCATATCCATCACTGAATGTAGAATAATCAAGGTGTGTATGTCATTTCAGAAACATACACAAATTTGTGAATATGGGGTTTCCTTGTTTTTGTAATGTTTCAGTAGAGTAAATGCAGAGAAGATCTGTGAATGTCTTATGGATAACTGCTATCCATAACTGCTAACTTTACTCGGACTGAGGCTATCTGTGCTTTAGTGAGATCAGAAAAAGTGTGTTCCTAAGTGCTGATCCCCTGTGCTCACCTGTGCTCAGCGTGCCTGGGCGATGACTTGGTTGTTGCTCTGTGATGCTCTGGTCCAGCGCTTACCTGTTCAGGTAGGTGCAGAGCCTTATAGTCCTGCTGCGGAGAGCAGCAATTGGCTGCCCTGTGTAGGGGAGGGTGGTCCCAGTGGGCGGTCCTCCCAGTGGGCGGTCCCAGTGTACATCCAGCTTTCCAGTGGGTAAAATGACAAACTTCCAGCTTAGAAGTTTCCCTTTCTGCATGTCTGTACTCCCTGTACAGTGTGTTAATTCTCTTATTTTAATGTGTTTAATGTCAACAGAACCATATTTAAACGGGGGCAGATTTCCTAGCAGGCAGCCTGCTGTAAAAAAATGCATCCCCTGCATCTTTGTTTCAGGTAATTATATCAAAAAAATGCTTTTGATAGTACACACTGTGGAGCAAAATACATTATCTGATCAAGTTTTATTTATATACTATCACAGAGTCAAATTTGAAAGAGGGTGCATTTCCTGACAGATATCCTGCCGTGAGTGTTTGTTTGTTTGTCAAGTAATTACAAACAAAATTGTGTGCATCTTTAAGAAATATTAAAATAGTAAATCCACCAAACAACTATTGCAAAATGTAGCCAAAGATATTTGTTCCCAGTCACATATTGTGATCAGCTTAAAAGAAAGTATCTGATAACATGTAAATTGGTACCATGTTACACAATTTGCATATTCCTATACTGATATACACACAAAGGCATGGTTTTGTTTACAGTCGTCTTTAAAGGGCAGTGAGAGACTCCCTGGCATAAGCACCTTTGGTGAGACGGTCGCTACCTCCACAGAAGAGTCATGTGTCTGCGGGCCCTTGAAAAGGCCCTTAACCCCCAGCTCCAGGGGCCACTGTATGTTGGCTGACCTTCCACTGTGACCCCCAAGCTACGGATAGCAAAATGGGGTCGGCAAAGACAAACATCCCAATGAACCTGTATTTGTGCAAATGGCAAATAAACCAAAATCCATCTCCGGATCTTCCTCTTTGGTTTTTATAGTATAAGACACTTTTGATAATTCAAACAGTGGACCTAAAATTATTATCTGAGTAAGCTGCATAGATTCAATTTCAGTGCTGCTAGATTTGAAAGGGCTGCATACTCTGTATATAAAATGCAAGCCCCCCCCATACTCCTATCAGTTGATCTTCGCCTAAAATGTTTTTCATAAATGCACAGTAGTGGAACACTTCAATCAGCAGTGCAAACTCTGAAGAGTTCTAATAACACAGTTACTGATTTACTACGCTGCATTGTGGTATCGCAGTTATGAAAAATATTCAGTAATAACTATGTAGTTCGCTCGATTGTTGATTGTGAACAGCATTTTATGACAGGGAAGGGAAGAAGGGAAATGCATTTGTGGGCATGTAGACTGGCATAAAAAAAACATCTTCTTGTTTTGCTATTTCTGATCATTGTTCCAGACAGTTCTCTTCATTGTGGAAAAAAAATAAATTAAATGTGTTTAAGAAATCATATTGTGTAATTTTCTTTGTGTTGGTAAATAAAGCCAAGGACTAGTAAACTAATGATGTGACTAAATAAACAATGTTCTAGGTTGGGGCTCATCATTCACATGTCATTGTATAGTTCAGGGGTTGTCCTGGAGAGCTACTGTCCAGTAGGTTTTCTATCCTACTTGGCTTCTGATGAGCCACACCTGGCCCTGGTATTTACCTGAGAACTAATGTGGCTCATCAGAAGCCGGGTAGGATAGAAAACCAACTGGATAGTAGCTCTCCAGGACCGGAGTTGGTGGCTACTGGAATAGTATATCATTACCATATGTTTTACATGATATACATCTTTTAAATGACTGTAGAAACAATTTCCTATTTCTGTAGTACATTTAGACTGACAGAGCTACTTCAATTTCGTATTTCTGTAATACATTTAGACGAAAAGATCTACTTCTTCCACAGAAAAGAGCCGTTCATGCTTCCGATAGGGGATGCGTTTGATCATCCAGCAGTGTTTGGTTGCTCGCTTGGTGTTGCGCACTTTTGGAGCTTATGGCTCAGATGGAGATGCTGGAGGAACGATCCAAACGTTTCGCATATAATGTCATTTCACATTATAACATTGTAGCCCATCATGCTATTTGCGTTAATTGCATTAGCATCTCAAGAATATGATCCTCGTCATGCTGCTTGAAGGCCTGTTCCATAACACCTCTTATTAACTTTGTCCAAACACCATGGAATCCCATTAGGTTGTTCAGTAGAGTATAAAATACGCTTTAACCTCGTATTAACATGATGCTTCTCTGAAAAGTCTATGTGATGATTTTGGTGTGATGTTCCCAGTTAACATCCTTTCTACCTGAGGCAATAAGACTCTATAACTTTTCTCCTTTCTGTAGGTGATCTTTTTCACCATTTCTGTCATTAGGTTCTCATTCAGATTGTACAACATTACTCATCTGCTTTTCATTTAGTCACCGGTATGTCTGTTTCATCCCCTCATCACAAGCTGCTATCTCATTTTATTCATGGCACAAACACTAACCACTTGTACTAATTATCTGTTATTTTATTACATCTGTTATAGTTATCTGTTACTTTGTTAGATTTATTTTGTAATTCTGTTTGCACTGTTACTGTATTACTGTTCTTTTTAAGCTTTTTACTGTCTCATCTTTACTCCTCTTGTTGCACTGAGCATGTTTAAAACAAAAGAATTTCCCTCAGGATAAATAAAGTTCTTCTGATCTTATCTTATCTTATCTCTCTGGAGAGAGCTCACCTATTGGCTGGAGAGAGCTCACTTATTGGCTGGAGAGAGCTCACCTATTGGCTGGAGAGAGCTCACTTATTGGCTGTTGACAAAGTCCTTGTCACTATGTGCATGAGCCAAGACTACAGACCTAGGATAATATTAAACACAACGTTCCAATAAAATCAACCGAGATGAGAAAAAGACGTATATAGCTACCTTGCCCATCCAGCACCAAAGGATAAGACAGCAATACACCACTGCAAAACTCTCATGATTTTATGCCTACACTGGAACTCTTTCTGCAACAATGAAATCGCTTGAAAAGCCATGTAGTGTAAGGCCAGCACTGCCCAACCTCCCCCCCGCCCCAGATCGACAACTATGACACGCCCCCCAATTTTACCAAGTGCCCGTCTTGGATCACAGACGATCACACAAATTTTAACACGCAAATTTTACCGGTCAAGATGACTTGATCATCTGCCCCTCAAAAAGTTTGTACAGGTGTGTGTGTACAGGTTTTCGGACAGGTTTTGGGCAATGACCCCCCCCCCCCCACACACACACACACACACACACACTCTGATAATTTCTTGAGGGTTTTATTTAAACCACATGATTGATCTGCACCTTCAGATTAAACAGCAAACTAAGTGTTTTGCCGAAACATCATCTCGCAAACCTTTGCTGCCTTGCTATGATGGACGCTTCCTGGTGAGAAATATCATAAAAATCTTATTTTCATCGCACCTTTTGACTTGTAAACATCACTTCAGACAGGAAATCACACCACTACACCCTATAGTGACATCTATCAATCCGGCACAACCCCCCACCCCAGTGATAATAAGGCCCACCCATCCTCCCTGATGTTAAAGCAGCAGAAACCTATGGCTACCTCAAACAAACAAAACACACAAATTAATGTTTAAAAACATTCCCTTGCTTCTGGCAGACCAGACCCCTCCCAGAGGAGATACCTGTAGAACATTCCCAGCCAGGTAAATTACTTCCCAGGGGATTCTTGATTTCAGCAAGTCAATATCACTCAATATTACATATTCCATGTACATAAGTGATTGTTAAGGCTTATAATTAAGTGTACTCACTAGTGCTGCAGGTAAACTTACTTAGAAAATGCTTGTGCAAAAACTAAGGAGGATTTTTTTAAAAAGTAAATTCTACACAGCATTTTTTAGTGCACCCTTAAGAGAACAGTGCTGCACCATTGACTTCAGGCCCAGGTCTGTTTGTTTGAGCAGCATGGGGCTCAGCAGACCGAGCCTCTGTATCTGTGAGCAGAAGGTCATGGGGTCTGTGCCCAGCCTCAGCAGAACAGTCACATGACTTTAGGCCCTTAACTCCCAGCTGGACAAGAAACTGCATCAGGCTCATGCTGGAAAGGACGCTTACATCACGCCTGGAACCGCTTCAGATCAGACACGGAATAAGACCCTTTGTCTTAATTAGCATCAGCCATATTATTTACTAAATTTGGGTTTGCTTAACTCATAAAAAAATAAATTTACCCCAAAAAAAAACTTAAAAAATGATAATTCCTCTTTTTTTTTTACATTTTATTGATGTTTACTTTTCATCTGACAGTAATTCTGTCTTTTGACAGACATTTTCTGGTGTCCCTGGTGCCGAAAAAAAAATATTTTTACACTTTTGTTAAGTGTGTCATCACATATGATAACATATATAGTTCTTGTAAAAGTTTTGTATTTTTCCCATAGGCCTTTTCTTTGAGTGCTTTACATGCCTAGTGTGGTTTTTTAGCATGAATGTGGCCGTAATCATGCAACCAAAAAAAAACACTGATTTGTAGTGAACTTATAAAAAAAACATCATGTATTGTCAAATGTAATTGAAATTAGAAAAATCCTGCCGGATCACCCTCAGGGAAACGCGGCACATGGCCGCTCCCTCGCAAATGCAGGTAATGTGCCTCATTCGGGACACAAAGTCAAACCAGCGGTGCCCAAGGATTCTCAGAAGAGACACAGTGCCGATGGAGTCCAGTCTTCGTCTCCGCTCACTGGATAGCGTCCATGTCTCACACCTCCAGTGCCGCCACTGAAATGCGGAGCTTACGAAGCTCCCCCGACTGCAGAGGAAGATGGTCGTCTTGCCGGAGAGGCAAGACATTCCACGCGCCTCAAACTGGGACCCGAGTGCCGCCACGCAGCGGGCGACACCTCAGCACCAGCCACGACCCCCGACGGGCCTGATGGATTTTCCTGTGGCCTTTCCCCCGTCCCCTTCATGACGCATGCGGCCTTCCTGTGGGCGGCTGCAGCAGAGCTACTTCCGCGGAGAGCAGAAACGTGTCCGGCCTGCCTGGTTGGGGCTGTGTGAAGTTTCTATGGTGGCTGGGGAGCCGATCCCGCCACCAACCCCCCAAATTTATCCCTGTAAGTTGGAGGACGGCAGTTTGACATCATACGCAGGGTTAAGGCGTCGTTTTGTCATATTTGCATTCTACTTAGTCTCAGATGATGCGAGTCCTTTACATATGTTTGTTTGTTTCTCTACACCGTGTTGACGTATATCGTATTTTAATGCAGTCAAATTCCCTTTAAAGCTGTACTCATTTACATTTCTTCCCGTTTTTGCTGTCAGACAACGGAACAGGAATGAAATATTGACTGAATCGCAGCTCAATATGACATGTTAACCAGCAGCTACTTCCAAGCCCCTGCTATGCACTGATAAAATTCACACCATACACATCACCATACACATCATTTTAAAACAATGCATGCACTGTGATTTCAGCTATACTTACGCTACATTAATGTCCAAGGCTGTGTATATTTCTATTTATATGTGTATACGGTGTATGTAAGATTAATGTTTATTATTACACATTTGAATAAAGAATGATGTACAGATACATCCAAATAAATGATAGAAATTCAGTGAGTTCAGAAATGGAAGTGAACTGAATCCCAGTGCGATGGTGAGTGATAAGTGACAACGGCGATGGTCAAAACGTTGTGTATTCTGGGTTAAACTGCATTGCTTTGACATCATGGAATAGAAAAAATACAAAGATACATTATTTTTCCATTATTATCAGTCAAAATTAATATCCTTCTTGCTAAAACTTGGACGTGAGATTTTACTGGGGCACATGTTTCAGTAATAGGGGTTTAGAAACACCCATGGATTGCGGAGAATGAGTCCCTTACAGGAAGTATACACTCACGTTCCCTTCCCTGAATGGATTTGCTTATGCTGGTAGCTGGTGTTAGCTGGGTGGGTGACCAGCTGGTATGACCAGTTAACCATCATGCAAAAAAACACACTTTAACCTGGTCAACTATAATATATGTTATTATAAGCTGGTCAAGCTTGTTTATTCAGCAATGCAGTGAGAGCCAGTGAGGTCTGTGCCGTAAGCAAGCATGTAACTGACTAGAAACTAAACCTGAGTCTCTCATTCTCCCACTCACTCACCAACTAGTTTAGAATGAGAACAAAAGACCGAAATGAGTGACCAAGTTGGTGAGGGAGTGAGTGAACAAGAGACTCAGGCCCAATCCCAATATCCACACTCACGGACTCACAGACTTTGAGGCGCGTACCCGCTAAGTCCGTTAGGGCTTAGGGCTGTCCCACTGTGAAATTGTCAAGTGTATAAGGGTTTTCTCACAGACATTTTGAGCACTTTGTACATACTTTGTCTGCAGACTTCGACTAAGTGAATTACCCACAGTTCATAGCATTGTGACATGAAACACGGAGTCACCGGGGAAAGCCTGGAAGAGTAAACGGTAAACAATCCATTTCTTTTTGTACTTGCTTAATGATTCTGTTTTGACAAAAAAGAGCAAATTGATTATTTGCCAGTTACCTCTCTCTACTCTGTAAGCCACTCTGTCACACGCTCACTGGCAGTCAGTTGCTTAAGTGCCTTTCCATAGTAGAAAGACATTAAAATTACAGAGAAAAAAAGTTAAAGTAGTAGGTGATGTCATATTTCACTAGGGGAATATGGGAAAGGCATGTCGCTGCAGACAGTAGACGAATGTCAAGTAAGAGGGGCAATGTCGAGTAAGAGGGGCAATGTTGAGTAGGTGGGCAATGTCAAGTAAGAGGGGCAATGTCGAGTAAGAGGGGCAATGTTGAGTAGGAGGGCAATGTCAAGTAAGAGGGGCAATGTCGAGTAGGAGGAGCAATGTGGGAGGGGTTTATAACTGTTTCCATCTGATACACTAACCCTAACCCCAACCCTAACCCTAACCATAAACCCATTCTACCCCCAGTAATAAACCCCTGTACTTGACATTGCCCCTCCTACTCGACACTGGGCTCCCGGCTGCAGCGATATATACTTGGAATATGGGGGAATGCCGGCAGTGACTCTGTATTTTAATCTTGTGACATTTAAAAAACAACCGAATTAACACAAGTGAAGTTCACTCTGCGCATGCTATGAAGTATGAAATAGCGAGTTTACAAGAAATCTGAAAAGCACTAACTAACAAAGCCTACACCGGCGATGAAGCCTAGATTGAGAAACGTGAAATGCTTTAACTGTCACCATAACTGTGGGTCTGTTTTCTGTGACGCTTTGTATGGTGCGTGCAGCTCAGTCTGTCCACTTCCTTTTTCTTTTAATAGGTACCAGCTAGTTTTCTTCTAAATGGTTGACGAGCCCTGCTTATGGGCATAGCATTGTTTTGTGCATGCCAGCCTATAACTTGCAGTGAAATGTAATCCTCTATCAAGAAAGTGTCTTCTAAGGCTCCGCCATAGAAATGTGAACCTGCGGAGATTCCAGTTGACGTTCCTCACTCTCCAGTGGAGGTTCTAGACCAGGGATCACCAACATGGTGCCTGCGGGCACCAGGATGCCCCCAAGGATCACATGAGTTGCCCGCGGACCTGTTCTAAAAATAGCACAACTCACCAGTGAGCAGCGTCTAAGATTTAATTTTATCCTGTTGCTATCCTTCTTTAATCACATTTGCATTTATATAGATTTGAAAATGACAATATCTAAAAAAAAATTATTTAAAACATGTTTATTATACATTAAGTTTAGATAAGTTTAGGAGGCCGTTTCAAACTGGTAGCCTTTCGTATGACTCAGTACCCATGAAGTAGCTCTCAGTTTCAAAAAGGTTGGTGACCCCTGGCTAGACCAGCGGTCACTAACAGGCAGTGGCGGAGCCAGGAAATTTTCTGTGGGGTGGCCAGGATGATTATGTGATCATTTTGGGGGTGGCCACGGCCCCCCCCCCGGCCACCCCCTGCCTCCGCGCCTGCTAACAGGCGGACCGCGTTCCGGGTCCGTACCCAGAAGCTGTACCATACGGTCCCGGACCGACAGCCAAAACATTTAGTTATTATTTAAAACCTGACGGGGAGCTTTTATTTTAACCGGCACAGCGTTTGTAGTCTTTTCGGTAGTGGTTTATCAGTAGAACCGCCGTTTCCCACGCCAATGAACATCAAACGCCTTTGACCGCCAAGCAAGACGTATAGTTCGGCGTATGCAGCCCTTTGTCTGCGCTAATGTGCCTTTCGTGTTAATAGCAGCAGCGAAGCTAACACCCGCAAACAAAAAGCGTAATGTTCCTAACAGCGGGGCTGCGCTCTCCTGAAATTGTAAATCTGAAAAGTTTTCAAATACAATATGTATTATATTACACGTTGGATAAATAGACGTAGCTTATTGTTGATTTCATGTTCGTTGAAGTTTCTGCATTTTAACATATGTATGAAGTAATGTTATCTGTTATATAAATAAACTCATGTGAAACAAAAAATGTACGTTTTCACGGTTGCCAAATCTCAAGCATCTGGCATGACACTCACGCTTTCAGACTCATGCTGGAAATCTTACGGCAAATCTATATTATTCCATTATAAAACCTAAAATTAGCTACGTCAAAAGTGTATTTACACGGTTAAATACAAAAGCAAACTATTTACAAGGTTTCTTTACAATGTAAAGAACTGTTACATGTGTGCAGACATCTCGAATTGAAAATCTCACTCCAGCCAGCTGGCCGAAGTTCTATGTCACGTGACAATAAATAATGTAAAAACGTTTCTGAATTGTACTTAATTAATTTAATTGATTTGACAGTCAGGTACTGATTACATAGAATATTGATGCAACTAATAGGCTAGCTACTTAAATATATATCACACTATTAAATGGTTATATATACATTATGATCTTCCGGACCTTTGCTTCAAGAATTTTTCTCTAACTGGACCTCTTTAAATTTTAGTTGAATACCCCTGTTCTAGACCATTTCAATTTGGGGCGGGGGCTCAGACTAGGGCCAGTTGTTCTGTTAGGGGGGTCAGACACATTGGACCTTAATGTCCTCCAAATATTAATTACACTAGATTGCCAGAATTTAGAAGCAAAAGACAATTTTGAAAACCGAAAGTTATGCAATGCTTTACAGTCACATTTATACAATATGTAAATCACTCTGATTTCTTGCTCATACTGTCTTGCTTATATAAGCTTCATAATTTTTTTCTGTCGTTAAATTTACTTTCCACCAACCAAAGTGACTTGACCACCCGGCACCCCCGCGTTAAGAGTCCGTCAAGAAGTTGCGTTCCTTTCGCCTGTTCGTAATGCGCAAGTTTTATCTCACATATATAAAAGTAAACAATAATAATAATTATAATACATTTATTTCACACCCAAGAAGCATATGTATTTAAGGGGGCGGGGGGAACGTTCGCCGCCCCTATCATTATGCCGCCTGCCGTATAATCAGGTTGCACGTCTAAATAGAGAAGCAGGGAGAAGTAGCGAGAACCGCTGTGAGAGAACTCATTCAACCATAATCAGGAGATATTTATCTTTAATAACAGCAAAGCAGTTATCAGTAAAACAAATCAGCCGAGCCAGGACATATACCATAAGGATTCAAGCACAGCGTGATGAGTATTATTAAAACGGGACGCTTTCTGAAAATTGGCTTTCTGGAATTTTTCCCCAGAATCATCTCAACCATTAATACTTGGACACTGTATAGAAGAGAAAATAAAGTATTACCGAACACATATATTAACTGCAAAGTTTAACTGTGCCGTTTTTCAGATGTCCCATTTTCACAATACTCACCTGATCTGCTGAAAACATCTAAAAGCATTCTTCATAATCATGACTTATTACTAAAACTTAATAATACATAGATAAAATAAAAGGCTGTTTTCCGGGATTTTCCACACTCCCTAAATAGTTATATGTGTCACCTTATCAAGTGACCTTATCAAATTCACGCACCCAAATGAAACGCAAATTTTTGCATATATGCTGCGCGCCTCACCGTTTCAGGGTGAGCGCGCTTTTAACCAGTCCTCCCGGAAGGCGCTGAAAAGGCTCTCTGTGAAAAGCACTCAAGGATCACTAAAATGGCATAGCTCCTGTCACCCGCAGGAAGTGTTCCTTTTGACCGCATCTCCATCATCCATGTGTGACTGAGTGACCATTGTTTCGACGTAGGCCAGGGGTGTCAAACTCCAGTCCTGTGTAGCTTAGTTCTTTCCCTTTTCCACCACAAATGATTCAGCTCAAGAGCTGTGTGGTACAGTAATTAGCACAAGAAGGTGCAAGGAGTTGAATCAGGTGTGTTAAATGAGGGGAAACCTAAAAATGTGCTGGGCTCTGGCCCTCCAGGACTGGAGTTTGACATCCCTGATGTAGGCTCACGTTAAACTAAGGCCCTCGATCACAAAGCAGGATTTCTTACTTAGCCAGATAACCTGTCAGATTTAAGGTGGTCTGGGCTAAATGTAAGCGAACGAAGATGAAGTCCATTTAAACTGGGGCGCCTTAAATCCGACATGTTATCTAACTAAGAAATCCTGCTTCCTAATACAGGTCCCAGATCAGTGCTCATCTCTGTTAAGTCGGCGGGGAGGGTTGATTCTCATCTGATGTCTGGGTCGGTGCTGGAGCAGGAACTTCTTGCGGGGGCTGCTGACCGGCGCCCCCTGCCATCGTGTCTTCAGCAGCCTTTGGCCTTTCATCCTGCGTACATCCAGCCGTTTCTTCCGCAGCTGGGGCCTCTGCTATCTCCTCTCCTTCGGCGTGTTTACTTTGCCCGGGGGGTTGATCAGCGCCCGGCGGCGGCGAGCCGTCTGCAGCCTGGTCAGGCTTCGGCTCACCCATTCCATCTTTCCCGAAGGTGATTCCCATCGACGACACCTCGATCAGCTGCAGCTCCCCGATGGACCTGCTCTCCTTGGAGAGCGGGTAGGGCAGGATGGAGGTGAAGCTCACCCTCCTGGTGTCTCCCTGATGGACCAGTTTGCAGTTTTCCATCTCTCCTTCAGTGTCTAGGAATGGCGACTGACCGGCCCAGTTGGAAAGGCTCATCTGCCTCTTTTTGTGACGCTGCTTCTTCCAAAAGTACCTCCCCGCACATACCAGCCCTGCCAGAGCCACTATTGCACAGGAAAAAGAGAAGACCAGTGCGACCACTTTCCTGCGCTGCTTATGTCCTTCATCATTCTGGGAGGGCTTTCCAGGTGCCATGTCATTCGTGCCGGGCAGAGCTGGCACCCTGGACTTGCCAGTCGAATGGCTGGACAAGACAAGCGTCTGGCTGGTTTGCTCACGCCCGGTGGGAGCCATTGGCGTGGGCTGTGGCCTGGGATGTCCATCAAAGGTCTTCTTGGTTGTCCTCACTATGGACGAAGTCAGCCTGGTCAAAAACACCTGAGCTGAGGATGGAGTGAGCTTAAGTGAAGGTGGCTGTGATGGAGATGGAGCTGGTTGAGATGGAGATGAAGTTGGCTGGGATGGGGATGGAGGAGGCTGTGATGGAGAGGAAGTTGGCTGGGATGTAGATGGAGGAGGCTGTGATGGAGATGAAGTTGGCTGGAATGGAGATGGAGTTGGCTGGGATGTAGATGGAGGTGGCTT